GTGGATCGGCTGACCAAGTCCGCACACTTTATTCCTGTGTGTACTACCTATTCTTTGGAGCAACTGGAGGAGATTTATATCCGGGAGATTGTACGTCTGCATGGTATTCCAGTTTCCATCATTTCAGATAGANATATCTCGTAAACGTAAAAAAATAATTTAGGAAAATAATTATAAAAAATTATAGATTATTAATAAAGATATAACAAAAGTTAATAAATAAATACATTTAAATGAAACATTTATTTAAAATTTACTATTAAAGCAGTCTTAGTGGATAACGTGCAATAATTTTTATTTTAATTAGGACATAAAATTGCCAGGTCATTAAATAAAAGACTCACCAATTCTGTCGTTAGTCGCGGGGGGTATTTTTGTTAATAGAATTAACGTCGTGTATTTTTTTTTGAACGGATAGATGGACGGAGGGTATTTATAAACCATTTAGCAAACAATAGGGGTAGTTTAGGCCCTTTTCCGCTTTTTTAATAATTGGTATTTTGTCTTATATGTCATATCAATTAAATTTTTCTTCTCTATTAACTTTGATATTTCAATTAGTTTTCCCTTTTAATTTTCCTCCCCTTTAAAAAAAAGTTTGCTTTAGAAAGAGTAAAGTATAGAGAGTAATAAAACGTTTGCAATAAAAATAGGTTACAAAGTTAAAAAATATGAAGGATATTTTTGTAAATAACTAAAAAATAATATAATACTTTAATACACCAAACCAAATATTGAATAAGAAATAATCTTAACATAACTAATGCCAGCATTACTAATTTCAACATTATTCTTATACCTCCTATCAAACGACCCTTAACATAGTAGTCATACATAAGTCAATAACATTTTATACTTTGTGGAATATTCGAACTGTTACTGTATAAAATGAGACGGAATTAAACTTGTCAAATTAGCCTGGGTATGGTTGGGCTGACTTTACCTTACTTCTACGAGATAGAAAAGATGACAAGACGAAACTTGTTAATTAATTAATAACAACGTCACTTCTCAAAGTTAAACTTATCCAGATTACTTAATGTCTGTTCAAGCAGAATGACATTAATTTGCGCTATAAGAGGTGGTTAGAACTGCTGAAGGACTATGATATCACTATTTTATATTACCCGGGCAAGGACAATATGGTGGCTGATGCTTTGAGTCGTCGGGCGGAGAGTTTGAGGAGTTTGGCTTATTTACAAACAGCCGAGAGGCCCATGGTGATGGATGTTAAGGCCTTAGCCAGCCAGTTTGTGAGATTGGATCTTTCGGAGCCCAGTCGGTTTCTAGCTTGCGTGGTTTCTCGGTCTTCCTTATTTGATCGTATCAGAGAGCATCAGTTTGATTACCCTCATTTGCTTGTCCTAGGACAAGGTTCAGCACGGTGATGCCAGATATGTGACTATTGGCAATGATGGGGTATTGAGGATGCAGGTTCAAGTTTGTGTACCCAATGTTGATGGGCTTCGGGAGTTGATTCTAGAGGAGGCCCATAGTTCGTGGTATTCCATTCATCCGGGTTACGCGAAGATGTATCAGAATTTGAGGCAGCACTATTGGTGGATGCGAATGAAGAAAGATATAGTTGGGTTTGTAGCTCGGTGCCTCAATTATTAGCAGGTGAAGTATGAGCACCAGAGACCGGGTGGGTTGCTTCAGCAGATAGAGATTCTGGAGTGGAAGTGGGAGCGGATCACCATGGACTTCGTAGCCGGACTCCCACAGACTTTGAGGAAGTTCGATTCCATTTGGGTGATTGTGGATCGGCTGACCAAGTCCGCACACTTTATTCCTGTGTGTACTACCTATTCTTTGGAGCAACTGGAGGAGATTTATATCCGGGAGATTGTACGTCTGCATGGTATTCCAGTTTCCATCATTTCAGATAGAGGTACTCAGTTCACATCATGATTCTGGAGGGCCGTACAGCATGAGTTGGGTACTCAGGTGGAGTTGAGTATAGCATTTCACCCTCAGACGGACGGACAGTCTGAGTGCACTATTCAGATTCTTGAGGATATGCTCAGTGCGTGTGTGATTGAGTTTGGAGGGTCTTAGGATCAGTTCTTGCCATTGGTGGAGTTTTCCTACAACAACAGCTATCAGTCCAGCATTCAGATGGCACCGACGAGGCTTTATATGGTAGACGGTGTAGCTCTCCGATGGGTTGGTTTGAGCCGGGTGAGGCTAGATTATTGGGCATAGACTTGGTTCAGGATTCTTTGGAGAAGGTTAAGGTAATTCAGGATAGACTCCGTACAGCCCAGTCCAGACAGAAGAGTTACGCGGATTGGAAAGTTCATCATGTTTCCTATCTGGTTTGAGAGCGGGTTCTGCTTTGGGTTTCGCCTATGAAGGGCATTATGATATTTGGGAAGAAAGGGAAGTTGAGTCTGAGGTTTATGGTCCTTTTGAGATATTGCGGCGTGTTGGGGAGGTTGCTTATGAGCTTTCCTTACCTCCCAGCTTGGTAGAAGTTCATCCGGTATTCCATGTTTCGATGCTCCGGAGGTATCACGGTGATCCGTCGCACGTGTTGGATTTTAGTTCAGTCCAGTTGGACAAGGATCTATCTTATGTTGAAGAGCCAGTGGCGATATTGGTCAGGCAGGTTCGAAAACTGAGGTGAAAGAACATTGCATCAGTAAAGGTTCAATAGCGGGGTCAGCCGGTCGAGGAGGCGACCTAGGAGATTGAGCATGATATGCGCAGCCGTTACCTCATCTTTTCACTACTTCAGGTATGTCTCTATGCTCGTTCGAGGATGAACGAATGTTTAAGTATAGGAGGATATAACGACCCGGCCGGTCGTTTTAAGAATTAACACCCCGATCCCCTATTAACTGTTTTTCCTGTGTTTGTTTCCGCTATTGTGAGTTGACGGGAGGATTTATTTGGAGTTTCGAAGAATTTTGGGACACTTAGTCCCTAAATGAGAGTTTAACTTTTAGAATTTGGACCGTAGTCGGAGCAGTGTGAAGACGGCATCGGAATAGAATTTCGTCAATTCTGTTAGCTCCGTTGGGTGATTTCCGCCTTAGGGGCGTGTTCGGTTCGTATTTTGGAGGTTCGTAGATTATTTAGGCTTGAAATGCCGAAAGTTAAATTTTTAAAGTTTCCGGTTCGATAGTGTGATTTTGATCTAAGGGTCGGAATGGAATTTCGGAAGTTGGAGTAGCTATGTAGTGTTGAATGTGAAGTGTGTGCAAAATTTCAGGTCATTCGGACGAGGTTTGATAGACTTTTTTATCGAAAGCGTAATTTGAGAGTTTTTGAAGTTCTTAGGCTTTAATCTGATGTTAATTGGTTGATTCGATGTTGTTTGAGGTATTTTGAAGATTTGTATAAGTTTGGATATTGGTATATGACTTGTCCGTGCTTTTGGTTGAGGTCCCGGGGGCCTCGGGATGATTTCGGGTGGTTAACGGGAAGTTTGGAGTTGAGTTTGGCAGCTGAAATTTTATGGTTGTTGTCAAAACCGCATCTGCAGTTGGGAGGCCGCAGGTGCGACTCCCACAGATGCAGAAGAAAGCCGCAGAAGTGGCTAAAAGGTGAGTCAGGTGGAGCCGCAGAAGCGGACATCTTGACGCATCTGCGATGGCGCAGGTGCGAGAGAGTGATCGCAGGCGCGGTCCCAGACCTTTAAGTGAAAATCGCAGGTGCGGTGGGTTATACCGCAGAAGCGGGAATTGACCGCAGGTGTGGAATCCCTAGGTTAGAAGGTATATATTTCACCCTTCGCGATTTTTGGCCATTTTTCTCAATATTTCATTCGAGGTGCAGCTTTTGGGAGCCATTTCAAGGGAAATTTTCAGAGGGATTCATTGAGGTAAGGTCTTTGGTTCCTAAGCTCGTTATTATAGTGATATTTATCGTTCTAAGCATGAAATTTGAAGGAAAATCAGTGGTAAATTGGGGGTTAGGGCTTGGTTAATTGGAGAGCTTTGAGTAGTGATTTGAGGGATCATTTGAGGTTTTATTTTGGTACTTTTGGTATGACTAAACTCGTGAGAGTGTGAGGATTATAAATTTGTAAATTTTACCCGATTTCGAGACGTGAGCCCGAGGGCGTTTTGGTCATTTTTCCTAATTTCACGTATTAGCTTAGAATTAATTAGTGGAATCAGTTACTTGAAGTTATATTTACATTATGCAATTGATTTGAATAAATTTGGGCCATTTGGAGTTGAGTACTCGTGGCCAGAGCGTGGTTTCAGGTTGATTATTTGAGCCAGTTCGAGGTAAGTGGTTTGCCTAACCTTGTGTGGGGGAACTCCCCTTAGGATTTGGTATTGTTGATATTTGAAATGCCTTGTACGTGAGGTGACGAGTGCGTACTTGTGCTAATTATTGAAAAATCCTGTTTTCATTAATTAACTATAATTCTTTTCCTGTCTATACTACTTGCAATTTAAGCTTACTGCTAGCTTAGAAAAGCATACCTAATTGACTTAATTGTTTTATTTGCTCAAACTACCTTACTAATTTTATGCAACATGCTAGGTTAGAAATTAATGTTTACCTTCTATAAACTATTGGAGAGAGAGAGAATATCAACATGAAAATCATGAGACAAATGTTAATGGTCAACACTCAACAACCAAAAACAAAAAATATCTATATATTCTCCTAGATAGCTAGCATCCATTCGTCACATATGATGTGATTTGCTACCAAGTAGCAATGAACCATTTCTTGAAGTTGCCGGAGGACTGCATATCAGCAATTCTTTCACTGACAAATCCTGCAGCTGCAGCAACATCATCGGCTGTATCCAAGGGATTCAAGTCCGCCGCCGAATCAGATGTTGTTTGGGACAGATTTCTTCATCAAGCTCAAATTATGATCTCCTCTCCTCCCATTTGCGCCTCCAAAAAAGAGCTCTTCCTTAGCCTCTCTCACTCACATATCCTCCTTGATGGAGGCAAATTGGTACGTAACGTAAATCCCAAGTTGTAATCCAATCATGTTTGGTTTTTTTCATTTGTGGTAATCATGTTTTAAAAGAAAAGTTGGGACTTGCTCAAACCTGTGGGTGTAGCTTATATATAACTAATTCAATACTTTCAACGCAAAATATGAAAACTAATCTGAAAGATTTTAAAAAATAAGTATTATATTTTGAAACTATAATTATTATTTTTTTATTTTCAAACGGAACTCATAGTTTTAAAAATAAAATAAGTTCAGTACAAAAAAAAACTGTTAAGAATAATTGAATATATCAATGTTCAGATCTTGAATCCGACTCATTTGAAAACTTATCCTAGGGCAAGGCAGTCGTAAAACGCCGTGCATGAGACTTTGAACTTTCATTAAAGAACTCAAGGATATGCACTGTTCCGTAATTCTTAAGCTTCTGCAATCGTACACGTGTAGTTGAAACTCCACCCAAATATCAAATTGATCGACTGGCCACAAAAGATATGGCATTAAATGTTCAGAAAACCTACTCAAAATGTCAGTATCTTAAAAAATATTAAAATTGCTTAGTGAAAGTTATTCGGTATTAGTACCTTCGCTCCTAACGTATACGCACAGATGTGTGGAGACTATTTTGTTTCGTAGGACAAGCAAGATACATGATTCATAATTTCATCATATTCATTAAATTTTTATATTTTAATTTCTTTACATATTTCACACGAACTTATATAATATGGCATTTTATAATAACAAATTGGTGATTTAGGCTAATATTATTGTGCACCTCCCCCACTCTCTCTATATATATACCGTCAAACCTCTCTGTATATATAACAACACTTCACTATAAAAGTCAAGTTTTTTCGGAACCAAATTTCATGTTCTGTTATAATATTTTTTTTATAGCAGCACTTCGCTATAACATCTAAAATATCTGAAACAAACGAGACTGTTATAGAAATATTTGACTCTCTCTATTATATATAATCTTTTTTCTTCATTTTTCTCTTGAACTTTATACAAGTTCTAACATATCTTTAATACTTTTTAACTTTTCAAATGTTACTATTTTTTTTCCAGAAAATATATAAACTAAACGTTTCAAGGGGCTTCCACCGTCTAAAGCAATTAGCTTAAAAAATTTAGTAGATCTTAATAGGGATGTAAATCAGGACCGCGGGATAGGGTAAGTCTTGATGTGCTAATATTTTGACCTGCCCACCCAATTTAGCATCTTTTTAAGAATGTTGCCCTACCCCATTTAAGTGTCCTTTGAATTCGTTTTTTACTTTTTCCTTTGTGGGTGCTCTATTTAATCTTTTAAACAAAGTACACGTTTATATTTTTAAAACAGAAACGATGAGCATTAGTGAATGCTGCTTGATTTCTTATTATTAAAACATAAACCATGGAGTATTATCTTATTGTCTGTTACTATTAAATCACGGCAAGACTAGAATAGAATATAATATTTGCCTCATTAAATTGAATAATCAGTTAAATTCCAATTAATATAAGATACTCGATCTGTTTCAATTTATGTGAATCTGTTTGATTGGGTACGAAGTTTCAATTTATGTGAATCTGTTTGATTGGGTACGAAGTTTAAGAAAAAATAAATATTTTTGAAATTTGTGGTCTTAAACAAGTCAAAAAGGAGTCCAGTGTATTCGTGTGACTATAAAAACTTCTCATTAATGGTAGAATTGAAAGTTTAAGTTAAATTATTTTCAAATTTAGAAATGGGTCATTCTTTTTAAAATTGACCAAAAAGTAAATAGGTTCACATAAACTGGAACGGGGTATACTTTAGCTTGTAAGGTGAATCACAAGATCTTCGTATTAGTGGCAGATTCACGTCCTAAGATATGAAATAATTTGCATATCCTTTTGTAAGAACCTATTCTGAAGCATGTAATCTGCCAACTTAGCAAATTGATAAAACTTTTTTGAAAATTAAACTACAAAAATAAATTATTTTATCCTCGTTATACAATCAATATTTTATAAAATAAATTATATGGAGGTAGTGATAGAGGTTTGAGACAAAAATTGTTCAATCTTTGATCCTTAGCCACGTAGTCATATTATCAGTAGAAAAAATTCAAAAAGTTTATCAGAAAATGAAAAGAAAAAAAAAAACTTTACCCAAATTTAGGACGAGAAAGTAACTGATAACGAAACGCAAGGACTAATCTGAGCTTCAAAAGCAGCAAAAGGCTCACATTTCCATACCAGCTGCCCAATGTGGGTCTGAAGCCTGACCAACCACTTGTCCTGTCTCATTTAAAAGTTTCAAAAATAAAATTTTGCCTCGTCCTGCCCCGTTTAAGCAGCAAGACTTACGTGCTAACTTGTGATCAGTCAACAACAATTTTTACTTTATTACCACAAAATTTTACCTAATGTTCTTATTTTAACCGTATAATATTGCAGAGTTTCTCACTTGATAGGTGGAGTGGAGACAAATGTTTCATGGTGGCACCAAAGGAACTTAGTATTGCAGGGATTGACAACCCACGACAATGGGAATGGACAATTCGTCCTAACTCAAGGTTTTAGTCTTTCTCATTTCATGTGTTTGATTATTTTACAAGGTTCAAATGTTTGTAAAAAAAAAAACAATATATATTCTTACAAATATTTATTCCAACAGATATTATAGATTGTCGGAAGTGGCAATTCTTAAATCTGCACGTTGGTTGGACATTCGAGGGAAGATAAGAACTATAATGCTGTCTCCAGAGACACACTATGCAGCGTATCTTGTATTCAAATTGGTGAATGATGCATATGGCATTAAATTGTTGAATGCAGTGGTTAGATTTGTCAACCATGAGAGTGAAAGTGAAGCTGTAAAACGAGCAACAAATGTGTATATTCCGAGTACGTCAAGATTATTTTTCAAGAATAAAACTGGCCCACTGTATGAAAATTGTGCACAGATAAGAGTTGATGGATGGATAGAAATACAATTGGGAAAGTTCTATAATAAGGGAGGTGATGATGGACAAGTAGAAGCAAGATCTATGGAGATTGAACGCCTTCGTGACAAGAGTGGCCTTATTGTCGGAGGAATTGAGTTTCGCCCCCAATCGTATAAAACTAATAGCCCGTTTGGCTGCAAAAATCAACTTATTTTGAGAAGTGCTGCTTTTTTTCAAAAGTGTTTTTATCAAAAGTACTTTTGGTGAGAAACAGTTTGTGTTTGACTAATTAGTTTGAAAAACACTTCTGAGCAGCAATTAGTGTTTGGCCAAGCTTTAAAAAACTGCTTCTAAGTGTATTTTTCTCAAAAATAGTTCTCAAAAAAGTGCTTTTGGAAAGAAACTACTTTTTTCTGTTTCTCTAAAACTACTTTTTTCTGTTTCTCCAAAACTACTTTTGCTTCTCTTTAAAAACACTTTTTTTCCTTCCAGAAGTTTGGCCAAACACCCCAAATTGAGGCCAAAAGTGCTTTTGGCCAAAAATAAGCTTGGCCAAACAGGCTATAAATAAGCTGTTGTTTTCGTGCTGTATCTAGCTGGATTGGTTAGTGTGTACATAATTGAATATGAATCCTTAAAAATATTTCCCTTTTGCTGTAAATTTTTTGAATTGCATTCTAGCTCAAGCATAAGCTGGTCTCTTCCAAGTGATCTTTTTACTAAAGAGCGATTAATAAGAAATTAACTGCCCTATGCTTTGATATTTAAATTATACAGATTTTTGTTCCATTGTACCCATATGCGTCACTGTGCAAATCCCACATGGAAATCCCATGTGCCACGTCCCGAAATTTCAACCTCGGGACCGTGATGGTACCTAACACTGCAAGCCAATACAACAAGATAATATGGAAAGAAGAGCAATAAATATCTAACAATTGAACGATAACATAATATCAACCACCCCAAGATTTGGTGTCACAGGTACATGAGTGTCTTGATTCGACTAAATGCAAGGTTTGAAAGAAATACATCACTGTCCAAAATAAAAATGGAAAAGTACAAAAAATAGGAAAGTGACTCCAAGGCTTGCCAACAAAATGCAGCTCTACCTCGAATCATTGACGGGTATCTGCTAAGTGCCTCTCGAGACTCCGCTAGTACCGATGTCAAAATTTTCACAAAAAGTACACTAGTGTAGTATGAGTACAACCGACCCTATATACTCAGTAAATGTCGCGCCTAATCCCGACGAGGTACTGACTAGGATATGAAGCAACAAAAATAACAAGTAAAATATTAAAGGTACTAAATGGGATGGGGGTAACAGTAGGAACAAGTAGTAAAGAATCACCAAATAAGTCTCCTTCCGAAATATGTAACGAAACCGCCAAGTTAAATTCACAATTAAAGTATCAGGTAAATATAATGAAATTATCAAATTGCACGGCATCACTCTTCGTGTTTTTTCTCTTGTATATGATAAAATCGGAGGGTCCAATTTTCCATCGTTATGACGCCTCGAAGGCTCGAAATCACGGTCGAGTTTCATCCCTCGAGGGCCATCGACGCTCGACCTCGAGACAGTATGAGACTGACGGTTATGAGAAGAAGATGGGGAGTTCCCGAGGCGTGAAGCTAAAGCCGACAAAATCTGTTAGGCTAGTCTGAGCTCGTATCGTAGCATTAGCTAAGTGTCCCATCTTCATATCTTTGTAATAAATGCACTTGTACCATGTTGGGATTCCCCTCTTATATAAAGGAGATCCTTGTCATTTTGTAAACATGTGTTGCTCCATACTAAATATACTAGAACATTCTCTTTGCTCTCTAACACATTCTCTTGGTCTCGTTATCTCATTTATTGCTCATATTTATTGTGTTCTACTCATTGTTCATCATTTATTGCTTATTATTAGCCATAAAAAGCCGTCTTTGATTTATTCATAACTGTTAATCTCCCTCGACCACCTTCGATAGCTCCCAGTCGAGCTTCAAACTCGACCTCGAGGTCCTCGAATAGGCAAGCTCGAGGCCCTGATCGACAGCGATTCGGTTTGATTATTATCTCGTTGTTAAGCTCTTATCTCGCTTCTAAGTCTTTCACGTAGCATCAACTGCCTAACAACTAGCGTAAAAATAGATCACGTATTTTTAGAACCACTAAATCAAATTTAATTGTTATTACTATTTTCACGGTAAACAGTTTAGCGCCCACCGTGGGGCTAAAAATAATAGTGATTATTTTCTTGTTGGTTTTTATACACAACGCAAGTTATCTTTCACACTTTTTCTTAGCCAAGATCTTTTGATTTCAGATCAAAATGTCTGACTCAGTAAATAACAATCTCGAGAACCACGGAGAGAATGATGTGGATGTTCCAGGTGTTGGTGTGCCACCACTGAACCTTGAGAATGCACCAGAACCAATTTCCGTGGACATAGTCTCACGCGATGCCCAACACGTCGACGCAAGCTCCCACACTAATAGGAGTGTGCACCAAGGAGACCAACAAGAAGCTTAGAAAACCCCGACTAGGGAAGAACGGGAGGTTAGACTTCACGTTATTTTTGAAATGTTGCAGGCACAACAACTAGCGATTGCTCAACTGCAAAGTCACCAGAAAACTCCCAGTACGGTAGCACCGGGCACGGCTCCCCCAGCCGAGCAGGTACCAGAGAGATCAAGCAACAATGGGTAGGTAGCCGACCACGCCATCGTAAAGAATCTCGAGGACTCACAAAGAGGATCAAATCGGGCGAGAAGAAGATAGAAGCCCATGACAAAAGGTCAAGACCTACAACTCCAGGGTCGACCAAATTTCGGGAGCAACCCCGATCTTGAAAGGTGTGGATTCGAAGAAGTTCACACAAAGTCCATTCTCGGAGGAAGCGGCTCCAAAATCCATTCCAAAGAAGTTGAAAATACCCGAGCTTCCAAAGTACAACGGAACCTCAGACCCCAACAAGCACGTCAATCCCTACATTTGTGTAGTAAAGGGCAACGACCTAAAGGATGACGAGATGTCTGTCCTATTGAAGAAATTCGGAGAAATGCTTTCTAAAGGGGTGATGATGTGGTATCACAACCTAGCTCCTAACTCCATAGACTCATTTGACATGCTGGCGGATTCTTTCATAAAGGCACATACTGGTGCCATCAAAGTAGCAACAAGGAAATCTGACGTCTTCAAGATCAAGCAGAGGGAGAACGAGATGGTGCGAAAGTTCGTATCTCGCTTTCAAATGGAACTACCACTAGTCTCTGATGACTAAGGTTGTATTGTGGTCCGGGACCGGCCCAGAACCGCGGGCCAAACGGGCCGGTTCAAGCGGGCCTAGGCTCTAGTGGTGCAAAAGCCCGTGGTGGGCCGGTTCAACACAAATAGCCCATGAGCCCGGGACCGGCAGGCGGGCCTGGGCCGGTTCAACCGGGCCCAATGGGCTCCAACAGCTAATTTTAAAAAAAAGACCAATGGTCGGATTTTTAAAATCTAGCCGTTGGCCTTCAAAATTTATCCGTTGGGCCCTTTAAAAAATAGTCATTTGGCCACCAAACTTTATTTTAACCCCAAACTTTTTATAATTACACTTTTTCCCAATTCTCAACTATAAATACCCCCTCATTCTTTCATTTTTACTCATAAATTCATCAATCTCTCTCATTTCTCAAACTCAAATTGAAGTATTCAAGTCTTCACTCATCTCTCATTTCTCAAACTCAAATTCTTAATTCAAGTTAAATCATGTCCGATGATTCTACATTGCACCCATTTGTTTTGGAACACTTTAATGTGGTAGAATAAAATGAAGAAGTTTGCATAATAAAGTGCAAGGACTGTGGTCGAGTCTACACTCGTCGTTGAAAGGAACGCACATGCTCTTTAAGGAGGCATATAAAGAGTTGTCTTGTGCGTTCTCCAAACATTCGTATTTAAGATTTTAAGTTGATTTGAGACAATTTGTGTTATTTAAAATTATTAGACTTATTATGCTTAATGTTCTAGTTTGTTAGATTAATTTGAAGTATTATGTTGAAGGTATTGAACTTTAATTTAAAGTATTAAATGTAAACTTTAATTTGAACTATATCTATAGCTTATATATATATATATCTATATATCTATATATATATCAATAGCTTTTATATGTATATATATATAATACATATAAACTATATATAATATAAACTATATATAATATTGTTAAAGCTATATACCCTCCTCAAGCACAAGCTCTGACCACGTTTCAGTTTTATAATCAGAAACAGTCTCAATTTTATCAATCCTTACGATTCTAGAACATTTTAACGGTAGATTTACCCTTGAGCTTATTAAGCTCTGACTACGTTTCAGTTTTATAATCAGAAACAGTCTCAATTTTATCAGCAAAGTTTTTTGATAAATCAATTGGTCTAACATTTAAACCAGAAAGTTTCTTATCAAGAAGATTTGCTAAGTCATCAAGAGATTTGATGATAAGTCTGCTATTTTTAATAGACATTTAATTACATAAGGCAATATTTAATTATATATACACATAATACACCGTTATATATACATACTATACATACTATATATATTTATATAGCTATAGATAAGCAATTTATAGTACTATATACATATATAGTTTACAAGAAAGTGCCTTAGATAAAAAAAATTAAAAAAATAGCCCGGAAAGAAAAAGCCCGTTAGGCCCGCCGGCCCGACCCATTTAGCCCGGGACCATGTGGGCTTAGGACCACCGTGGGCCGGTTCCACACATTGGAACCGTGAATCCCGGGACCGTTTGGCCCGGGATCGCCAAAGCCCGACCCGTTAAGGCCCGTTTGACGTGGCCCCGGACCACAATACATCCTTACCGATGACTGGGCAGTACAAGCCTTCACTCAAAGTCTAAATGAGTGAAGCTCAGTGGCTTTGAAGCAGCTGAAACAGAACCTGGTCGAATATCCTCCTGTGACTTGGTCGGACGTCCACAACCGATACCAATCAAAGATCAAGGTCGAGGAAAACCAACTAGGAGCCCCCTTGGGCTCGGTATACCCAAGCAGGCTTCTGGAGAAGGAGCAAAAGCCAAACAAAGAAAGGTACCATCCATACACCGAGGACAAAAGAAATGCCCGGAGGCGTAACATACCCTGCAATGATCGAAGAATAGACCGAAGCCAGAACCTTCGGGGACCTGTCAGCAGAGTCGGGTTTGATAGGTACATAGGGTCGATGGAGGCACCTCGCTTGTCGGAATACAACTTCAATGTCGATGTATCAGATATCGTGTTCGCCATCAGTAAAATCAGAGATGCCAGGTGGGCCCAGGCCCGTGCAATCAGATCCTTTGCAAAGAAATCATAACTTAGTGTGTGAATTCCACAACACGCACAACCACTAGACTGAGGATTTTCACCAAATCCGAGAAGAAGTAGCAAGACTTCTTAGTAAAGGGCACCTCCGAGAGTTCCTCAGCGATCGGGCCAAAAATCAGTTCCGGGAAAGAGAGGCGGCCAAGAAGAATGAAACAAATGAGCCACAACAAGTCATCCACATGATCTTGGGAGGCATCGATGCCCCACAGAAGCCCATGATGAGAAGAACAAAAATATCCATCACCAGAGAAAAGCGAACTCATGATTACATACCCAAGGATGCCCTCACATTCAGCGATGAGGACATCGAGATCTTGTCTCAACCTCACAACGACGCACTGGTAATTGTTGATACCTAATTTTTCAGTATATATTTTTAA